ATCTTATCTGGCCCCCAAGATGATAAGTAAAACGTAAAATTATTATTTTTTCACTTGAATTTTTTTCAGTAATCTTTGATTGGGATGTCAAAAGTGCAACAGAGAACGTCAAATGAAACCAATCAAACTCTTTTTTCAGGAATCTGCAACCAAGAAAAGATGTTGGGTATTTAACTTGTGTTAATGTAGATTCTGAAGCTGGCCCTTAGTTTGAAAAAGGTTTTAATTTTGGCCTCCTTTTGTAAGTGAGTTTGACACATGATATCACGTGCTTAAAAATATTAATTATATTCAATCAGGTTTTGCAGGACTTTGTAAATCATTGCTTGATTTAAATTTCTACCCTCTTATTTGAAGCTTTCTTTTAAAATAAAAAGTTCTTCCTCATGAACTTTGATTGTGTGTGTCACGTGCATAACTTTGAGGAATTCTCTCTTGTTTTTGTGCTCCGGTGTAAATTCTAGTACACAGACAGGAAGCAGTTTTTCCAAACTGAAGAAATGCAACTTGGTTTCACACTTGATAGTAAAGAACTGATGGGACTACATCTAAAAGGTTTTAAAGTATTCTTCAGAGCCAATGAAGATGAAAAACTCTGAGCTCATTAAACAATGAATAATCATTAGAAAGCCAGAAAAAAAATCAGTATTAAACCAAAGCTGTGATTCAGTTTGAAATATTCTAACAATTACTGAGGATTATTAGAAAATTCCTTATATTTGGAGTCTTCATATTTCCCAGAGGATGAACCCATAATCTCAGGGACTGCTCACTAATCCAGTGCCTATAAAACCTGGGATTAGTTTGTTGATTCCTTCACTTTTCGTCAAGTGTTCACCAAGAGCCTAATGGTGGATAAAATGTGGCCCATTTCTTCACGTTTAATGCAATCGTTTTGACTACATATAAGAGTTAAACATTATATTTCCTGCAAAACATTATTTTCTGCACCAAATCGTTGATCATCATCCACATTTGGTGCACACCAGTTTGAGTCTACATCTTTTAGTCCCTGATGGTTTTGTTTTGTTGTCTTTTCAGATTGTCAAATGACTAAAACATAATTGAAGGAAAACTATTTTCATTTTCACGAGCAGATAAACAGATTTAAGAAAGGTTTGAGTTCTTTTTTTGTTGTTGAAAATTCAGAAAATCACAGTAATTATAACTAAAATGAAAACATCCTCAAAAAAAAAAAAATCCTATGTATTACTACAAAATGCAGTTCTTTTTGTAACTTTTAAGTAAGAAGAATAATTACGAATATCTCACAGCAGAGTAACCTTTAACTCTGACATATTGTCAAACAAATCATATTTCCCTCTGAAAACATGATGTTTATCTTTGCAAAGTTAGTTCTTTAATCTAGAACACTGGAAGTAAAAGCGATAGACCTAAATGTCTGTTTTCATGCTACAGTGAAGCCTTCTCTTTCTCAAAGCTGCTCAGCACGTCTTAATGATGCACACCTCTGGGTTCATGTTATTACTAATGTGTTTTTCTCTGACACTCAGAAAGGTGCATAAAGACTTCTGCTCAGTAAATATTTTGCGATTTCAGCCGAAGACATCTGCTCAGGCTAGACAAGACATTCGGAGTACCTGATGGAATAACACCTTTCAGTTACACGTTATTTACTGATTAAAGAATATTAATAGTCATAATACAATAGAAGTGTGGGTTCAAGGTTCAAGGTTCTTTATTGTCATTTGCATCACATGTGGTACATGAGGTGGAATGAAATTGTGTACTCAAGGTCCCAGTTACACCCAAAAATAGCAAAAACAAAGTGTAAAAAGAAACAGTATATAAGGATCTAAAATATAAACTAAACAGTATTAATGTAATATAATACGGTGTCTTAAACAGCAGCATGGACATGAGTTTGTAGTGAGCAGATGGGCATGAATACAGCAGCTTAAAGGCAAGAAATCAGCAGCACGGATAATCAGCAGCACATATAAGTCACATATCACCAATTAAAGTGGCATTACAGTGATTATCCTCGTTAGAGATTCATGAGTCTAACAACCTCAGGGTAGAAGCTGTTCCTCAGCGTAGTTGTTCAACACTTAATGCTCCTCAACCTCCTTCCTGAGGGGAGCAGGCCAAAAAGTGTGTGTGCTGGGTGAGCGGGGTCCTTCATGATGCAGGTGGCTCTCTTCCTGCATCTGGAGGTGTAGATGTCTGTGATGGTGGGGAGACTGACTCCAGCAGTCTTCTGTACAGCCTTCACCACTCTCTGCAAAGCTTTTCTCTCCACAGCTGTGCAGCCTCCATGCCACATGTTGATGCTGGAGCACAGGATACTCTCCACTGCACACCTGTAGAAGGAGGTGAGGACTGAGCTTCCCAGACCAGCTCGTCTCAGCCGTCTGAGAAAGTAGAGTCTGATGAGCTTTCTTGATTAGGCTGGTGGTGTTGTTACCCCAGCTGATGATGTCATTCAGGTGCACACCCAAGTACTTGAAACTGGAAACCACTTTCACCGCAGATCCACCTATATTTGGGGAGGGGGTAGCTCTTCTGGGGGCTTGCTCCTTCTGAAATCCACGATCATCTCCTTCGTCTTCTTCACATTGATGTGGAGGTTGTTCTTTCTGCACCAGCTCTCCAGGTGTTCCACCTCCTGCCTGTAGCTGGACTCATTGTTTGTGATGCATCCAACCACCGCTGTATCGTCTGCAAACTTTACAATGCAACAGCCTGGATGGTAGGTGTGCAGTCATATGTGAGCAGAGTGAACAGGAGGGGGCTCAGTACATAGCCCTGAGGGGAGCCAGTGCTGAGGGTTATGGTGGAGGAGGAAAAGTTGTGAATCCTCACAGACTGTGGTCTGTTTGTTAAGAAATCCAGGACCCAGTTGCATGGAGAAGAATTTAGTCTTAGTGTGAGTAATCTGTCGATCAGGGTTTGCGGGATCATGATGTTGAAAGCAGACGTGAAGTCCACAAAGAGCATACACACATTGGATTCCTTCTGCTCCAGGTGGGTGAGAGCAGTGTGGACCACAGAGGAGATGGCATCCTCTGATGATTGATTCTTGCGGTATGCATACTGGTGTGGGTCCTCGTTGATGTTGATGGAGGCTTTGATGTATGCAGAGGATACGTATGTCCAAATACAACATTACAATATTTAATAAAAAATTAAAAACAGAAGCATTAAACAGATTTTGTTATAAACAAATTAAAACAACAGCTCAAAACCCTGTCAAAGAAAAAACATAAGGGGGTGGGGGCACATGAGCCCTATGAGGTAATGACTGCAATTTTATGGACTCTGTCCAAAGTACACAGCATATGTTTTATGTTTATATTCAGATAAGATAACCTACACTTTCAGTGCACGTGCATTTGGGACAGATTCCCACTGAAAACGTTCCCATGGCTATGCTTCAGCTGCTTTACTGGTTGGACATTTCATTGTTTCAAGCTAACATCACATGCTGGGTCTTTACACACTGGAAGAAAAAGATTGACCACATTTGAAAAAAAAATAGCAACTAATGTCTCGAGACACAAACGTGACACAGTCAAGGGTTTTTATAAAACTTTAAACTGACAGCGTATTAGCACTTTGCTGTCAGTGTGAGTGGTTGGTGTACATTCTTTATATGGTGCATGCAAATAATTTATATTTGTGTATCATCAGTCCCCATGGAAGCTGAGTGGGAGTCTGCGCCTGCAATTAATCTTTGATTTTGTTATCTTATTACAAGTGAATTATCTTCGTCTCCCGATAACAACATCTGTTTTGTTGTGGCAGCGGGTTAATTTATGTTGACGTCTCCATGTTTACTTGCACACCTGCTGGCTGAATCAGAGAAACAGGAACTGATCAACAGTTTAACTGCAGCAAAGTTCAGTTGTATATCTTCGCTGAAAATAAATAAACAATAACTTATGAGAGATTAATGTTGTAATTCATTAGGAGATTTTTTTTCAATTTTTCCAGTTGTATTACCTTGAGGTAACGAAATGCTGAGAAAACTAGAGAAATTAAATTTCCTGTGACAATACAGTGTGAATGTTTATTGCTGAAGAACTTGCTGAAAAAACAGCTGAACTTGGCTCAAAAAACAAGCTGAATTGTAGCTGAAATTAAAGAATTATAGCCTTTATTAGCAGAAGAAGGCAAAAAGAAGACATTTTTGCAAAATTAGGTATAAATTAGCTGAAATGAGCACACAAATTAGGAAATTAGTTATATGAACACGGAAATTAGCAACAAAAAAGCTGAAAAGTAGCTGAAAAGGCAGAAAGAAGCTTAAGCTACCAGAAAGAAGCGGAAAGAGCTAAAATTAGCTAACAATATGGAATTATCTGAAAAGGCTAAAATTCGCATAAAACAGCTAATTTTTTCTTCTTCTTTCAGCTAATCCCTTTTTCAGAGGTCGCTACAATGAACTAAGTTGCATGAAGACATGACAATTGTTTTTAAGCCGGATGCCCTTCCTGACACAACCACAGACCACCAAGTTGCCACAGCCCTCTGTGTGGAGCAGAGAGCTGCTATCTAGGGTGCCCGGAGGGGCAGATGGTGGAGGTTAAGGGCCTTGCTCAAGGGCCCAGGGTGGGCCAAATGAGGGTTGAGGCAGGTGTTGTTGTTGGTATCGGGAGTTGAACTGGCAGATCACAGGACAACCTTTTCTAACCTCTGCACCACCACTCCCCCTATAAAAACAGCTAAATAGTATCTGAAATAGTAAAAAAAGCCAAAACTAGCAGAAAAAAGCTGAAAGGAGCATAACAAGCTGAAATCACCATAAAGACGCTAATTAGGTTGAAAGTAGCAAAAATTTACCATGAAAAACATGAATTTATCTTAAAACAGCTGAAATTATCTAAAAAATAAGCTAAAATGATAGCTGAAAAGGCATAATAAGCCTAAGTTAGCAGAAGAAAGCAGAAAGAACATGTTTGCTCAATTACAGTACTCTGAAAAAAGAAATGAGCACAAAAAGTGGAAATTATCTTAAAAAACAAACAACAACGAGTTAGCTAGTAACAAAGAGTTCTTTTCGTAAACATTTTGTGATTTTTTTTAACTTTCGTTGCCTAAAAATTTAAGTTATTTCACATCGCAATAATGCCGGGGACAGCCAACATTATCGCGATGAAGAAAATTGTCCAACAGTTGCGTCTTGAAGCTGGCATCAACAGAGTTAAGGTCTCTCAGGCCGCAGCGGACCTCCAGCAGTTTTGCCTTCAGAACGCCCAGCAGGACCCTCTGCTGAACGGCATGTCGTCCAGCAACAACCCGTTCAGACCGCACAGAGCCTGCTCCTTCCTATAGCACCAACCGGCCGAGCCTCCACTGTTTTAGAAGATGTGATTCTTTCGCACACTGAGCTGCAGGACCCTTCGTCATGGACTGGAATCGTTTCAGGAGTGTTTAAAGGAATTTGGGCCAGACAACTAACATAACTTTTTTTTTTTTTTTAACAAATCTTGTACCATTTTGTAAAATCTCCTGCAGACATTTCTCTAGTGCGACATTACCGTCTTAGCATTTTTGCTTCGAACTAACCCATAAGAACACGTGTGCCTTGTGAAATGTACATTTTTCATAACTGAATAAATGTTTCCACAGTTTATAGAAAAAAACAACAACAAACAAACAAAAAAAAAACAAACAACAACAAAAAAAACCTGACATTAGCATAAACAGCTAAATTATAGATGAAATAGTAGAAAAAGCTGAAACTTGCAGACATAAGCTGAAATTAACATAACAAGCTGAAGTTAGCAGAAAAAAGTTAGACCAAGCACAAAATTGTTTTAATTAGCAGTACAAATTGGAATGGAGAACAAAACAGCTTAAAAAAAACAGCTGAAAGTAGCTGAAAAAAAAGTTTAAATTTGCACAAGGAAGCTGAAAGAAGCTGAACCGGAACAAAACGTGAAAGGAGCAGTAAAAGGTTGGAAAGAGATGTAAAGATCTGAAGGATGTAAAATGAGCTCATTTCATTTTTTATGAGGAAAAAAGTGTCAGAAAAGGCTAAATATTTCAAAAAGCTAAAGTTACACCAATACCAAGTGCATTACTCCTGAATGAGCTGACAGTTTTGATATGATTTGTTGAAATAGCTTGAAAACTGTGGGACGAAAAGCGCGCCGAAAAACATACAGAAGTTAAAATGGATCACAAGAGTGTGACTGCTTTATAAACATTTACGCAATAATATAAAACGTGGATCTTTTATTTCTAAAAATTCTTCCTCGTGTCTCTGGTGACGAAGAAGAAAGCTAAAATCAAACTGGCCTATCGTGTTACCACTCAAGTCGCTGTATTAATCTGTACAGTGGTGTCGAGATGTCTCATTAAATCTGATCTTCAGTAGAGAAACGTGGCGGTGTGTGCGCACGGAAGAGCTGCTAATTACACGACTGCAATTTGGCGTCTGAATGCAAAAAGATAATTTTCACTGCCCCCTGCTCAGACAACCAATCAACTTGTCAACACAACAGCCATAATCAGAGTTTGATGAGAAGTAGAGCACGCAACAGGATGGAACTGGGCCTATTATAATGTTTTAATGAAAACAGAAGCAGCTGTAATATAAGAACGGTGCAAGTTTTGTCACTTCCATTGACAGAAAGTAACTTCCTGTGTGGAGCTAAGATGCTAAAAACATGGACTTGTGTTTCATGCTGTACTCCTGTCTCCAAGGTAAAACGATGCAAAAGAAGGTGAAACCCGCTGGTCTTTGTACTCCTAGCATCCTGCTGATGTTTAGGTCTCTCTAACCACTTGTCCAAAGCTGCAGAGTAATTTTACGCTAAGCTGATGGCGCAGAGCTCAGCATGAAAATATTGCTGTTGAACTAATAATAAATAAAAGAAGAAAAGAAAAAAAATTGCGAAATGAGTTCACGTTCAGCTGTGTACACCTATAGCATCAGCTGTTCCTGATCATCTTCCTCTCCTGCCGTCCCTCCGTTTTTTTTTTATATCCTCTCCTGAGTTTTGCTTTCTACACGCTCCTCTTTCCTTCTCCCCTGCCGTCTTCTCTTCTTTTGTAGTTTTAGTGGAGTACATTTAAAAGGACTGTTTGACGTCAGCTGGTTTACCCCCAGGTCTGACTCACAGAGCGAACAAAGCCTTTCCCTTTCACTGTTGGACAAATAGTAACTCTTGCGCTTTTTGCCTAAATAACAACATGTAAAAGTGAAGTGAGTGCTCAAACATTTTGTTTAACTAAACTTAATTTGAATCTTGCATTAAATTGTTGATTTTAGGGTAAATACCAGAACAAGAACTCAAATTAAAGGCCTGACGTTCCTTGTTGGAATCACCTGCTGCGTTCTATGTTAAATTTGTTAAAGATTTAGATTACTTGTTCCCAAAGCTATGGTCAGGACCTCACTGTAGGTCATGAGACATTAAATGAAGCTCATATAATCTCTGCAAATTAGACTTAATTAAAAAAAAATGCAGATTGGTTGCGTACGGCATTAATAAGCATAGCTTTGGTGTGCTGCATTATTAAATCATTGCTAAAGTTTTTACATTTAAACTGGTGGTTGCAAATTTGGCCATTTTTTATTTTGTAGGTCAGTTCACGAACCTCTGATTTAGACCAGGGGTTCTCAGACTTTTTGGGTTCAGGGACCCTTTACAGAGGAGAAAAAGATTCAGGGAACCCCTCATAACCCTCATGTTTATTAAATAATTTTCTTCATTTTGTCTCTTTAATGCAATGGAAATATTTGTGTAACATAAATACTTAAAACCTGTTCTTTAATTGTGTTAATACAACTTTTATTCTTTTAAACATGGGGTATTTTTCATTCAAGACACACTTAATTAGCACAATTTTTAATTTCAACTTCCAAAAATTACAGTTTTGAGAAAATTAACAGCCTCAAAAACCACTTTAAAACTTTACCTATTCATATAATGAACATAATAAATGTGTTGCCACTTCTTCAAATTATTACAGAAAACTTTACATAGAACTGAACAGAATCATAACAGCAGTAGTCAGACCAAGTAACAGGCTTCATTTGTGAGTCGGAATGTAGGAACACAAATGGCGGTGGGGGGGCGGGGGTGTCTGGGGTTCCTCCCCTCAGAATACCTGAATAAAAGATGCAATTTCCTGCATTTTGGTGTATTTCAATGGGTTCTTAAACATCGATGTACTTGTAAAAATGTGTTTTTTTTTTTTTTTTTGACCGCCAAGCACCGACTTGTGGATCCCATGAGGGTCCGGGGACCCCAGTTTGAGAACCACCGATTTAGATGTTATATTTATTTATTATTTTTGCAGCATTGCATTTCTCAAAAAAAAAATAAAAAATAAATAAAATGCATTAGTCTAGTTGCTGACGCTTATTAAATTTCAACCAGCATCGTTTATGCAAAACTACTGTATGACTGATTATTGTCATAATTTCTTCCACGTTCTGATTTATTTTACTACCTGCTGGTGCGATGAGTGTAGCATCACAGCAGAAGTCTGGAACAGGATGAAGGAGTGTTTGTGGGGTTAGAGGCATTTTGATGATGTTTGTCTCGTTTTCAGGTCTCCAACAGCACACATTAATCAGGACTGGCTACCTGCTCACTATTAGATGGAAGCTAAACTTTAGCATTCCACAGCTTAAGCGACAACAAATCTTGCCCTGAAGCTCTATCAGCAGCAGACTCTAATGATGCTTTGGAGCTCTTTAGAAAGCACCGACCTGCTGTTGTAGTATCTGTCATCCCTCACTTACACAAACAGGGACTGACAGCTACAGCACTTGCTGTGTTAGTGTGCCGAGTCATTTTCATTTTGAGCCTGATCACCGGCGCCCCGGCTCTTTTTCTTTCTCCCTCTCATCTTTGTTTGCTTTCGTTGACTTCAGTTTTTTTTTGTTTTTTTTTACTCAAGGATTTATTCTTTATTTAACTGCAGGGAAACACAAAACACTTTGTCCTCATTTCTGCCACACATCTGTGATAAGACATTTTTTTTTTTTTTGTTTTTGAGTCATTCACTCTGTTTTACTGTCAATTAGCCTCCAACCACTTGCATGGCGTGACTTCTATCTTCAGTGATTAATAAAGATTAGTTTTATTTTTTGAATAATTTAGCTGAAAAACACAACTGATACACTAATGACCATATTTTTTAGGGAAAATAAATCCCTGCAGGGGCTACACATTTACTTCTAAAAACAAGAAGATGGTGCTTTTCTTAACATTTCGTTTCTACAGATTTTCTGAACACATTTTAGTGCTTGCTGAAAATATCCCACGTTCCAACCGAATGGGCTTTTAGCTTTAAGTCCGATCTCTCCCTCATGCCTTTAACTTCACTAAACCATTCCGTTAGCAAAAGTGAAGCCTGTGTTTTATTTTTTGCTGTTTTCATTGCTGACCTGCACTCAGAAATGTCAGCTTGAATGCTGTACCACCTTCTTCTCTGGTAATAATCCTCCTTTTTATGCCAGCAGAAGTAGGAGGAAACAATGCTCTGCTCGGGTCTCGTATCCGTGTTCTCCCACTGCTCTAATGGAAAGTGACAGAACTGAGGGTAATTTGACCTCTGAGCTCGGCCGGAAGACTATAGTTCATCAGGATGAGATGGTGGTTGTATTCTGTCCTATGGGATTTGAACTCCCCAGCATCCTGTTTCACGATGTTCACTTCATGCTCTCGAAAAACATAAAAAGTCAGCGGAAGCTGACGATGGGAGTGCAACTTTGTCTTTCTGCCTGACGTAGAAAGCTTTTTTAAAATACAGTAGTCCTACACTACTTCGCGGTTCGACTTGTGCAGGCTCGCTCTTTTACCGTTTTTCCAAGTAAGATTGAACATAACACACAGTTTGATGGTTGATGGATGAGCCGCATGATGGGCATGTATATTTTAATTAAAAATAAATTATTTAAAATTATTTAGCACTTGCTGCACCTGGGTGCAGCCCACATGTGCAGGGAGAAGCTCCCTCCTGCAGCATGTCATGATCTCCGCTCTGCAGTGAAGAAGTGGGCGTGGCCAAGAGCGCTGGCTGGTGTCAGAGAGAGCGGAGATCATGACATTCTGTGTTCTTTTAGAGCGTTTAGAGTTTAGAAACATTGTTTAGAATACTGCAAGAGTGTGGTAAAGGTTTAAAACACATTGATATATATATATATATATATATATATATATATATATATATATATATATACACACATATATATATATATATAAATATTGAGGTAAACTGTTATTTACCAATTCCTACTTCATGGTTTTTCACTTATCGTGGGTAGACTGGGAACAGAACCCCCCATGATAAACAGGGGACTACTGTACACTGTTTTAGTGCTAGACTGAATATTATTGCCAGTGCTTTTGTGCTTCATTTGCCTTGTACCTATAAACAAAAGGTGACCCGTTATAACAAAAGAAATTCATTTATCTGTCACTTTTTATTCAAAAACTATTTTTTGTGACAAATTATTTTTTTCCCAGAAATTCTTTTATTGCAGAGAATTCAAATCATTTCTGACAGACGTTTTTCATAGTAAGTGATACTCGTTCACATTGTTTTTAAAAGCTTGTGAAATCTTCAACCTTGGTGTGAGGTAAAGCAAGTCCTAAAGCCTTTTAATTTCACATGCAACCAGAATAACATGTGATCTCGAGTCAAAGGAAAGTGTATGTGAGGCTTGCTGCAACGTGCATTCATATGATCAACCATTAATTCAGCTATACACAGCATATGGGGAGGTCAGTCTGCTGTGGTGAAATGACAGTCAGACCATAATAGCAATAAACGTTGCATGTGTGCAATGCAGTTCCTTTAATTACAATTTCTTTTAGACATCACACCAGCCCTGGTACAGGGCTGATGACTGTAAAATGTGCCGCTCTTTCATATCTGCTGAATGTGGCAACGTGTGTTGTCGTTTGAATAAACATAATTTATCAGCAGTTATATAAGAGAACTGAATTTCAAATGAGTTTTATACAAAGCAGTTCAAAAAAGGAGGTATTATTAGACATTAAAAAAACTGGAAATGAACTGGACGTGTGTTTTCTGTTCAGAGGCATGCGTGTGAACTTCTGAGCGTCAGTTTCTAAAATCGGATCGTTTGTAGAACTTCAGTGAATTAATATTTTTATTATTTCTATTTCGGGCCATTCCCTTTGCATCCTGCAGTCAGCAGACGCCAGAAAAAGCACCATTTGTCACCACTTACCCTTCACAGGAATGCAGTTCATGACTCTCAGTCTGCACAGGAAATCATTCATTTTATACAATGTCAGAACTGAAGTATTTTTCTTGCCTAATATGAGCTTCTATTGGTCCATAATAACCCCCCCCCCCCCCCCCCCAAATGCCAATCTAAAGACATCTGTAAAGATTAATACATTTTATTTAGTTTGTAAGGAGGTGGCTTTGCTTCCTAAATACAGTCAGTCTTGTAAAAAAATGCACTAAATGATCATTTTAATTCTTTCTAACATTAGAACAGTAATTCAGCACTTATTTTAAGTAAACTCAGCACTCTGACAAGTCTGAGTTTCCTCTTTCCTCAGAGAATTTCCTGATGTAAACAGGAAAAGATAAATTATATCCATGACATGATTAATTACAACCAGTTTGTTGGGAAAGAACTAAGAACAGAGAAACAAAGGGAGCTATAATTTATTTTCAATGCCTGTTAAAAACAAACTTTAAAACCGTGTCAGTGTTTGACATTGTTAATGCTCGACTTCGAGCCTTGTTACTGTAACTTCTTACTGCCTGCTGCTCAAGGCGAAAGGGTGATGAGGTTTTTGTCCTTTTTTGCGTACCGTATTTTTGGGACTATAAGGCCCACCAGATTATAAGGCTCATTAAGTGAAACGAAATAGTCAGATGAGTCAAATTTTATTCAACTCATTCACAATAACAACATAAAATTTGTTCAAGGTCAGTAAGTACAACCCGGATTAATACATAAGGTGCACCAGATTATAAGGCTCACTGTCGATTTTTGAGAAAATTTAAGGATTTTAAGTGCACCTTATAGTCCAAAAAATACGGTATGTATGTGTCTTGTCTGCTGTGTTAGCAAAATATCTGATGAACCACTGGACAGATCGTAATCAAACTCCCAGAAGTAAATGCACATCCACAACTCATTAGCTAATGGAGTCAATCCGGTTCAAGAAGGCCGTTGTAGCTAATTGAGCTTATCAAAAGCAACAATTCAACTGCTCTGCCGTTGTTATAGATATTGAGGTAAAATCTGGTGTGGCAGTAGCTGAGAGTCATTCATAACATATACTCTGAGCATTAACAGATTTTGCAATATTGCGTAAGGTTGTGCATATGCAATGCTATTCTTTCTCATCATAAATGTTTTTAGTTTAAACTCTGATATAAAATAAGCTGAGGAATATAATTTTTTAAGTAGTGCTGGGTCTTTAATTTATGATTTTTCAAAGTAGTACAAAGTACTTAAAAAAAAAATGTTCAAATAGATTTTTTTTAGGTGATAAAGTCTGACGATGCTTGAGAAACGAGATCGTTGTAATAAGATTGACAGAATCTGTCTCAGAGATTTTGTTTGAATGCCTAATAATACCAGCTGCAGACGTCCTGCGTTGTTAGAAACATATACGCGGCCGCTTTAAGGTTATTTTTCTTTTTTTTATATTTCTATCTGTCTCTGTTATGGCATTTTTTGTGAGGACAAAAGAAACGTTAACAGGAATAGTGAGAGCTGCAGGAGGGTTGGTGACACACTGACAGAGCTGAGGAGTTTCTTTCAGTGTACAGTCTCATGCTGGGTAGTGATGGTAATATGTTGTGGATGACGATAATAATAGAAAAATAAAAAAATAGCAGCGAAAAGTAATGAGTCTTGAAAATAGGAGTGTTTTTTGTCATAGGAGGTCACAGCCTTTTAACAAGATAAAGCGTCAAACTGTTCTTGTGGGTTAGCCACTCACTCTCGTCAAACAGCTGCATTTCCTCAGCTGCTTTTGGCAGATTCTTACTGGGTTCTTCAGGCTTTTGCTCTGCAAATCTGCTGCTGGAGTCCTGAGCTTCCAGGAAAACATACATCCTTGATGAGGCTTGTCTAAACGCAGCGACAGAAACCACCAAATGAGTCACAGGGGTAATGAGCCTCTTACAGTGTGAGGTTAAAGAAATGGATGTGCTCTCTTGAGTCTGGAGTTATGATTCTTCAAGCTGCATGTACATCATGTGCACATGTTGTTTCGAGACAGATTCAAGTGTGTCGTTCTTTTATGCTGGCACTGTGTTAGCTACCAAGGAAGCGGTAAACGTGAATGCATGTGGATTTAGTTTTTAAGACAGTGGGTTCTTATTTGTCTAAAGGTCCTCTGCACGATGTATAACAAGCTGCATTAGGGATATTTGGTATGGACTCACTGAGAAGCCTTTAATGGTGCGAGCACTGTCCGTGCGAGACGCTGAAGCACATGGAAAGTGTTATGAGCGTTGTGAAAATAGAACAGAGAGGATTGTGGGGTTTTCACAACTGATATTGTTACCTCAGTGTTCAACAGCAATATTCTAATATAACGCAAGCCAATAAAAATGTGTTGCCTTCTCAGAACCTGTGATACTTACAGTTGTACCTCTGGTAAAACATCTCCTTTGATCTCTTCAGGAGCATAAATACCACTTTAAGTTAAACTTTATGTTGGTTTAATGGGGTTAAAAACAGACGTTTTAATAGATCAAAGTTCATGCTCAATAATCTAGGTTAAAAAAAACCCAACAAAGTTCAGTCAGGTCATCTGGACCATTTCTTTTTTTTTGTTGTTGAGATGTTTCGTCCTTCATCCAAAGGACTTCATCAGTCCGAGGAGCCACAAACAAACTCAGTCCCACAAGCAGCACACTATAGTGGAGCAACCCGTTTGCTGGTGATAAGAAGGACCGATGAATAAACTGTCCAGATGACCTGACTGAACTTTTGTAGACTTTTTAATAGACTTTCCAGAACTTGCAATGCAGTTTTGAATCCAATCCCCTGTTAGTTTCACACCGGTTTGCACCTTCATACGTGCGATCACACACATTTCATTCATTCGTTTGGATGAGAAGTGAAACTTCCTCAAAAAAACATTAAAAGAAGTCCAGTCACCCCAAAAAATAAATACAATAAAAACACTTTTAAGCAAAGATGCGTGCCCTTAGAAGAAAAAAACCTTCATGCACTTAATCAGTCCACTGAAACTATGTTTGCTGCACAAATTGAATGCAGTGTCAGACTTGCACAGATGGTTAATGAACCTGAAAAAAAAAAGTGGAAATTGAATCGCATGGAGGCTAAAGGCTTGTCTGCATTTCTATTCGCGTTTCAGATGGGAAGGTGGAGGTGACAAAGGAGGGCCTGAAGCTCTGCACCATGGGGCCGGGGAAGGTGTTCGGAGAGCTGGCTATTCTCTACAACTGCACCAGGACTGCCACTGTCAAGAGTGAGTTTTCACAGACACAAAAACACACACGCACACACTGAAATCTGTTGCCTTGGTGTCAAAGATCAGGGGTCTTCTGGGATCTCGCTGTCACAGTAGGATCTAATCTGATCCAACACGCTGCCCATCCTCCATGGCGAGTTCTCACAGCACTTTTTGGGAGAGTGTGCAGCGAGACCCCAAGTGAGCTGAATGTCAAGGTTTACTGCCTCGGCTCTTTCTCGTGTCAAAGCTCCAGCTTTGAGGGCTGCAACAGTGGGTGAGTAGGTGGTCTGTCCGACTGGCTGTTTGAATAGTCGGCCTGATAAGAGTAAAGACAAGAGGCTGGGAAAGGACAGGACAGATGGTGGATTGCACACATTTGAAAGCTTGTAAGATAGTGTGTCATGATGAAAAATGTGTGTTTAGGTGGAATAATAAGTAGACAAAAGGTGGGATGCGATGTCTGCTGGGTGACTATATATAATTTTTGGCACTTCAATGCAGTTTCAATTAGGATAAATGAATAAAGGTCAGAGTTCAAGTGAGTTGGAACAAAATAACGCACTGTATCGTAAGCTGCAGGGTCAAGTTTAACAATTTAATACATTCTGAGCTGGTTGTTGTTTCCTGGCGTTGTGTGCAAATCAATACGTGACCTTGGTATGAATGAATGCATGAGTGCCAGAAGTTCTCCTGGGCGCTCTTATGAGGGGGAGTTGAAGTGAGGAGGAAGCGAGGTCAATCATTTTATTGCTGTGAAGTTGCGCGACCTGTGTTGACCCCTCTCAAGTTGCACAAACTAGCCAAACAAACCAAACTAGTTTCAGTTACTATGGCAACAAGTACCCACAGGGAGATGAGCCAACTCCCGTGAGATAAAATATACCCCTTCCCAGTGGCGACAGTGTGTCTGTCTATTTTTTTTATTTTGTGTGTGTGTGTGGGTTACACAGCTCATCCACCAGCGTATAGGTCTATACTTCCTGCTTTTGAAATAACTTTCTTATGGAACAAGTGACGTAATTGTCTACATGTGCAGAGATGTGTTTATAGTTTAACAGGGTCAGCGGTGCTGTCTCATTGGATGACTGTCTTTACTTTAATGCATGTCGTTACACATGAACGTACCGAGGACTTCAGCTGCCTCAGACGTGATTAAAGGTGAAAGTCTAATAAATATCATCGTCATGGTTTGTAACAGAGATGGACCCAAGAATAAGAAACAACACAAGTTGCCAAAATGAAAGTATAAAGTTGTGATTATTGGAAAAAAAAAACTAAAATTTATTCTAATTCAACAAGCAAAAGACACAGTCAAATAAATAAATAACTAAATCTTAAGAAGACACAGAGGAGATCCAGACAGGGCATGGAGGCACAATGCCAGACTGCAGGTGAGGTGAAGTCTGGGAGGACTGGGGCTGATGAGGAGATTGGAGACAGGCGGTTTAATGGTAATGGAGAACAGGTGAAGATGGACGTGGCAGGACAGAGGAGCCAACATGAGAAAATCACAGGAAACAAACTGAACACACAAAAACAATAATAAAAAAAATAAACATCACAGGAAATAAACACAAATGAATAAATAAATCTCAGAAGACAGAAAAAAGGGAAAACTTTTGAAGCCTAAAATAAAAATAAAAAATAGATGAGGAACCCAGGATTGTTACAAGCATGCAGTTAATAGTGAGCATAGATGCTGAACCTCCAATCAAGCTGTTTAATTTGTTCTGTGAATGCTCCTCTGTCAGAGGATGTATCCTCAGCTGATTTCAATCACATCCCTTCATCTCCCAAGTCATATCCATAACTAATTATCTCTTGAGTTTAAATATGAAGAACCTGTTTATTGTAGGACCAAGAAAAGTTGTTCTTCTTTGACTGTGGGTAGTATTTTCCCTCCATCATTTAACAGCAGAACTACTGTATAACAAAACTAAAAAGATCTAATGTGAAGATCTGGACATTATTGAAGGCTTTCGCCAATAAAAAGTAATTTTTTTAGATATGTTGCACAAAGTACTTCAAATGATGTGCGATTTGAGAAAGAACAATTTCTAGTGTTTCATTGCTTCAATAGTTGTGCTGCGGACCAAGTCCAGAAATGAGCCTCGTCCTTTCCTTTAGCCTCTATCAGCTCGAAATAATGACATAATATTGGGACACAAAGTCCTCTATCAGGAAACATATTCTCCTTAATTTGTTGTAACTCTCATGGGTTCAGGTACTTCTATACACACTAAACCATTTTTAGATTCTTTTTTGTTGCGAGTCTATCTTCGTGTCCTCGCCACCCTTTCATCTATATCTTCGGCAGCTCTTGCGGACTGACAAACCTCTCATTGTGGAATCTAAAGCTCATGTTATTCCATTCCCTCTGTGTGGGCACCATGCTGCTTGGCCCAGCACTTCATGCATGTGGACTTCATAAATCCTTTCATGGAGTCTTCTGGGGCCACCCATCATAGGTGTTTTTGTAACCACCTCAATCCCAACGGAGACTTCTCTTGTTACACAGAGAAGTACTTCTTCTTCCAGTGTCTCCTGCATATTGGAGGCGCACAAAACCACAGCTCAGCTTCACATTGCTTCAGTCTTTAAATACTTTCTCCTGTGTGTAAAGAAGTTCTCCCTCTTCCTGATCAAACGTTACTCTTTGAACCTGTGGTCTCTGGAGAGCGTGTCCACTCCTGTCACTGTCACACTCAGCACTGTCACCATATGAAGATGGACCAGTCTCCGGCTTGTGTCGCCTGCTTCCAACAGTCTGTGGGTCAGACAGCTCAGCCTCTCCTACATGTGACTGCCTCTCATCGACATCTGACTGCTCCTTCGTCAGCGCCACGTCTGACTAGCAACGAGGATCAGCGTCTTCCCTCCAGACATTGCAGCATGTCTTGGATTTCACACGAGTGATAGGAAGTGGTTCTTATCTTGCTGGGTCCATGTCTTTTGATGGTCCTCAACGTGATAAACTCCTTCAGACACACTGGGCAACATATTTAGTTTAAAAAAAAAAAAGTTATTAATCTTATTGATCAGACACGTAAAATTTAGTGATAAATTATTTCAAAGCATTCTGAGAAAAATAGCACATCAGTATTTCATCTTTTTTGTTGTTAACATTATAAAATCACTTGTTTGACAGGTTAATTTATAGCCAGTTTAACACAATGAACAAGTCTTCTTTCCAGATTCTTCTGCACTCAGAATGGTTGTATACACTGTCACTGCAAATATCTAATTTATTTATTGTGGAGGAGTATTTGTGGATTTTGCTTTTATTTGCAGGCTGCTTATTACATATGTTTCACGCAGAAGAATGAAGTAAAATTTGGGATGTTTTATTTTGTGACAGAACACTTTAGTAAAATATATAATTACAAGTTCTAGTTGATTAATTTTCATTTCCCCCTTTAGGGGAAATTTGTTCACAACCAGTGTTCAAACAATACACATGATAAAATAGTAATAAAAAAAAACTCTTAACACTAAAATCACTATTGTTTATTAAGAAGCCTGACTGCTGCAGGGTTAGGGATTTTTTATTTTTTTGTCTTTTAATCCTGCAGTTTAACAACAGCTCCCTGCTTTCAGATGGCAGCAAACTGAACTCGGTGATCAGGATCTTCCAGGATCTTCCAGGATCGGTCTGGCCTTTTTTATTTGCCTCTCCTTGTGTTGGTCTGTGAGGTTCTGTAGGGCCGTGCCAGAAATTTGCTGCAAATTCTGGCTACCCCTAAAAGTTTGTTTCCGGACGCACATAGGAAGACCAAACCAACAAATAAAAAAAAATTTAAAATGTAACTTATCAAAGACGAATGAAGCATTCTTATAAAAGTCCACATTAACCACAGAGGTCTGATATAAATACTTCTCTGATGATCCAACATTTTTCAGTCAGGTCATCTGGACAGTTTCTTTTTTGTTTTTGTGCTGAAACGTTTCACCTTCCATCCAGAAGGCTTCATCAGTCAAGGAAACACACAACACAAAACTGATTCTTCTTCCAAACAGCTTGCTCAAAAGTGGAACAACCAGTTATGTTGGTATTAAGATGGTCTCTTTGGCACGCCCCCTCCTCTGGTGCCGGCCCTCTTCCTTGTCGACAGTCATGTCAAACTGGTTCAAAACCAACAAAGTCCATGCTCAATAATCCAGGTATACAGTCCAATCATTTTCAGTCAGGTCATGTGGACAATTTCTTTTTTTTTTTTTTGTGCTGAAACGTTTCACCTTCCATCCAGGGTGCGTGCCATAGAGATCATCTTAGCACCAACATAACTGGTTTGTTCCACTTTGGAGTAAGCTGGGGAAGAATCAGTTTTGTGTTCTGTGTTTCCTTGACTGATGAAGCTTTGTGGATGGAAGGTGAAACGTTTTGGCACAACAAAAAAAAAAAAGAAAAAAAAGATGACCCGACTGAAAATTGTTGGATTGTATACCTGGATTACTGAGCATGGACTTTGTTGACTTCTCTGATGAGGCTTCGTACAAGGATTTGCGCCCAAAGTCAAAGAACAGTTTCCACATATTTTATACTGCTGCACCATTTAAACACCTTCATCATTATTAGCCACAGGAAAGGCATCAAATCATCCTTTCTAAAATGTAGCATTTACATAAAATTCACAATTGAAAGTCTAATTATTGAAGCAATACATAATTCAACATATTCAAACAGCTGTGTTACAAATAATTCTTAAACTATAATAAAACTAAGTTAAATGGACCATTTGCAGGGGAAAGAAAACATTATTGTTGGAAATCTGAGCAACACTGCAGTTAGGAGACTGTCACAAACAAATTGCAAAATCGTCCAAATATTGCAAGAGTTGCTTTAATTTGTATTCATTGTTTCATTTGCATGATTGAAATTTCCCTGAGGGGTTGACACGGATTTTCCCAGCCTCCCTCTTTCATCTTTTCTGTGTGAGCACTTTGCTGGCATTTTCCTAGGAGAATAAAATCCTTTAAAATAAGATACACATGCATCTGGAGTCACACTTTCTTCC